AACGCGGGCGGCCCTGGAGCGGTGAGTGCCTTGGCCGCCCGCGGTTGCTCCTGCCTGCTGCCCTCGCCGTGCTTTGGGCCCGTGGTGGAGAGGGGCTGTCTGATAAGCCTTAGCAAAACTGCCAGCGTCAAAAATTGTGGCAAAGTTTTCGAGAAACTGGTGTTTCTTACAAAAGGAAGCAGCTGGTGCATAGGCACCAGTTAGACACACACACTTCTGGAAATACCTAACGTTCACTTTCTCAGTCGTTTGTTGATTGTTACTGCTTATGTCTGCTTTCTTCTCTTTACTGTGTTCTAATACTTTACATAATCACCTTTCACCCTGTAAACATCAAAAGGAAACCAAGTAAAGCACTGATGCTATTCCACACTCAGCAGCCAGAACCTGCAATTTCACTTCTTAGATGCTGGTTTGCACATACCATCCAGCCTACACAGGAAAGAAGAGTGCCTTTTGCTGTTAATTGAGCTCAGAGCTTCAAGTCTAGCTCCGACTCAGTCTCTGCTAAACTGAAAGGCAGTTGTCGATAAAAAATTCAGATACAGAGAAGACAAAGCCAGGTAAGGGAGTATAAAACTGTCACAGTGGGAAATTAAATTTGCTTACTGCAGTAATATGACACCTTTTTTTTCCTCAAAAGACGCACAGTTTCACTTGGGGGTAAGTTTTAGGATACAGGATACGGTGAGTCTGCTTCCTTCTGAGAAGTCGGGTTATGCTTTGTCCCTACATTAAGAATGGCTGTTGTGGGTCTATAATAGAGGATTCATTTGTGAGTAGAGTATAAAATGTATGGCTTCTACTAAGGCCATTCTGCAGAACTAGCAGGTAAAACCTGACCAAGGGAGGACTAAGTTACAAATAGAAGAAAAGCTGCTTCTACCCATCTTACAGCAGATTTGCTATTTTATAAGCCTCGTGAAGAGTTTGATTGACCTAAGAGTCACTGGCTGAGGCCCAGAGCTCACTGTTTAATAGAGAAACTACACTAGTAGTGCTAAAGATCAGAGTCCTGCCCAAAATGTGATGCTGCACAAGTGCACCCTCCCCCTGCACACTAAATAGCTTACATCCAATGAATAGTTTATTGCTGAAAGCATGCCTAATCATTCTTGCTAGCCAGTCAGCTTGGCATTTCTGGCCATGTTCTAGTATCACCAGCGTTTCCAAGACACCAGCAGCACTTGTGCTCTGCTGCCTCCCAAAACAACAACTCTCCGGCCTGGGCTGCAACCACTGAACTTTTAAATTTGATTTATTTGTAGGTCTCTTGATGTGAATCTTCGGGCTGTGCTTCATGTTTCCCAGGTGAGGAAGAATTGTCACTGCAGTTGTTTCCATGACCAGCAGTGACTAAGTTGTTCTGTGTAGCAGAGATAAATGTCCACTGTGGGGGCTAAAGGGACTGTAATCCAAAATTAACCTGACAATTTGCGCACACAGCTCCTTCACTCTTTCTTTGACTCTCTTTCCTTGGAAGTGGAAGGCAGTGAAGACTGACTTCCTCCAGATGTTTTTCTCTTTTGGCTACCGTAATAGCCCAGCAAGATTCCTACTGAATGAAATAATGATTTCTCATGTTATGATTCTGGCATCCTTTTTATTTTTTTTTTTTATCCTCCCCCCCTCCAGATTGTTGCTCGGCAGATGATTGCACAGGGGATGCCAGGTGCTATTGTAAATGTCTCTAGCCAGGCATCTCAGCGTGCTCTGCAGGATCATGCCGTTTACTGTAAGTATGTGTAGCTTTAGCAGTGCCCCTCTCATTTTTGAGTAGCTGGAGACCCACAGCCACCAAGCTGCTGGCTGCCAATTCTGGACAGTGAAATACCTCTGTGTGTTCTAGACCAAGTGCTATGCACTTAAAGGCCTCCTGTTTTTCCCTTCTCTTGAAGGTGCCACAAAAAGTGCTTTGGATATGCTGAGCAAGGTAATGGCAATGGAACTGGGACCCCACAAGGTAAAACTTTCTGAACGAAAAGTCTGAAAGCTGAACCTGAGCATTTCCTCTCAGAGCAGTCTGGTTAGATTGTTTGTTGTTCTTGGTCCTAGATTAGGGTGAATACTGTGAACCCCACAGTGGTTATGACCGACATGGGGAGAATTAACTGGAGTGATCCTCAGAAATCGGCTGCCATGATTAATCGGATTCCACTAGGAAAGTTTGCAGGTCAGTGGTGCAGATTTATTGCCAGGCTGGGCTCATTTGTTGTATCCAAGCCTTCCCTCTAACTGACATCACAGCCATCGGTACCTTGCTTCTTTTGTATGCAAAGTCACAACTTTGCTGAATGGCTGTTGTTGAATTCCTTAAGTATTTGATGAGGACAGGGCGAGAATTGCTCTTATTTCCCCTCTTCTACAAACTTCTCATCTTAGGACAAGTGAAGTACACTTACTCTGTTGTTTATAAATATGACTGGGAGGGGAGCATAGGGGCTTGCTGTGAACTAAGGATCATTTGATCACAACAAGGACCTCTTGATGTGCAGCTCTCAGCCACAGTCCTATATACTGCATCAAGTACAGTTTGCAGCTGGAGGTTTTTCCCTGCTCCAACTAAATGTAGAGGTCAAAGACGTACCTTTTGGGATGCTTGTTTTTCTAGTACAATTTGGCGGGGTGCATCAGATGTTCTCTGTGTTTGATTCCAGAGGTGGATGATGTGGTGAACAGCATTCTTTTCCTGCTGAGTGATAAGAGTGCTATGACAACTGGCAGCTCACTGATGGTTGATGGGGGATTCCTTGTCTCCTAAGATGGCACCTGCATTTCACACCTGGCCTTAATTTTCATACTAGTACTGCATAGATGTAAACTGGATAGAAAACAATGACACAGACCCAGTCTTGCTGGAGAAGAGGGGCAGCAGGGTTGGAACCTGTATGAGGTGAGGCAGAAAATTACCTTTAGAAGGCTGCTATATAATAAAGCTCACATACGCCGTCATGGAGAATGTTTATTGCACCAAATAAGGTTTTATCTTGTCACTCTACATGATGATTAGAAATTGGACCTGTCTTTCTTCCAACCCTATTCCCCTCCCCCCCAATCCTTCAGAAGATCTCCCTGTTCCATCCAAATCCACAGAGCCCAGCTGCACTTTCAGTGGGAAGGGAAAGAAGTCAGCAGACTCCTCATTGCTTCCTTTGCTGTCTTCAGTAGAAAAAAAACAAAAGAGAGGCAACAACCACAGCCCTGCTCTGCAGAGACTGGAGTTGGGGGGGGAGGCCGAGGCCCTGCTAAAGACTGAGAGGGGGGAGCAGCAGCACGCTGTCCTAGGCTGTGCACACACAAAAAGGCAAATGCATTGATTGCACAGAGCTGTTTCACTCACTGAGTTTGGCTAGTACCCAATAAAGCACCTAATGATTAGTTCTTCAGCTTCATACCTCATTTACTCTGACCCCTTCCGGGGCTGGTTATGATTTCTTTAACAGTCCCAGCCATGTTATCTGCTAGAGCACCAATTTGTTAACTATTAGCCACAGTAGGCTGGGCAAGGAGACATTACCAATCTCCTAGCTGCTCCTGTCATTCAGCACCATTCATATTAGCTCTCTCCCCACTCCCACAAGGATCTTTACCACCTGTTTCACCTGCATGTTGAAACCAGGTGTTTCCAGGACAGGATGGATGTCTCAGCCCTTTCAGCTTGGAGTTCAGGAAAGCCAACACAGCCTGTTGTCCCAAGGCGCTACCCTGCCTTCCCCATTGTACCTCCCCTGTGGGCTGTACAGCCCCCAGCCAGTCTCCTGCCCCCGCTGCCCCTTCACATCAACACTGACGTAAAATCAAAGAGACATTTAAAAACACTGACTTCGTACATGATGAAGGGCCCTACACATCCCAGCCCCCTCCAGAAACACCCAGCTAATATGCAATCTGTCAGAGGACAACAACATGCTGAGCCAGCACCTAGGCCACAGCCCTCAAAACACAGTACACTTTTTGCCGGGCTTCTTCACAGGTGGTGGGCAGAGCACAGCCCGGATGGCTTCATCAAAGACCGTCTTCAAGCCCCGCTGCGTCAGGGCAGAGCACTCGAGGTACTTTACCGACCCTAGGGGAAAGAGAGCTCCAGCTCAACCACTCCAGTCCTACCAGGACATACTGTCCCTCACCCACTCCAAACTAAAAAGCTCAATGCCATGGAGATGATCCAGCACATGACTCACCAATCTCCCGAGCCATGGCCAAACCTTGCGGGTAGGTGATGGGGGCCAGTTTCTTATCACGTAACCTTTCAATGGTGTCCTTATCATCCCTCAAGTCCAGCTTGGTGCCCACCAGGATGATAGGTGTATTTGGGCAATGGTGTCGGACCTCAGGGTACCACTGGAACAGAGAGGCATGGTAAGAAAAGTAGCTACAGCAGTAGATGCAACCATGAAGATGCATTCAGTATTGGAAACAAGGTTTTTACTACTATATGACATGGTGGCAACACCTGAACAAGATACTTCTGTCTACAGGTCTGAACATGCTCTGCAGAAAGAGATTGGTGCAGATGTAATAATGAAGGCACAGAGACATGGAATCATGACAGACAGTGCCAGACAACTCTGCACACAGTGCTTCCCTTAACTGCATTTTAGCTTCTAGGACATCCCTTATCTTCTTTAAGATGCAGATTCAAAAAGGCAAAAACTTAGCCAAAGAAGTCATGAATAAAAAGTAGGCCCCTCTTAAAACCTGCAGACTATGACCTTGCCTTCTCAAAACATGACTGCTAGAAATTTTGGGCTTGTAGGTGTGATACTGGGTGGGGCAGGGAACCTCACTGGTTCCACCCTTACACTGTTTCGCCCAGAAGAATACTTTACCTTGGCTCTGACATTCTCAAAGGAGGCTGGACTCACAAGGGAGAAGCAGATCAAGAAAACATCCTGTGTGGAAACAAGAGGGTCAGCCATGTAGAAGGAAACAGCTAGCGATAATGGAAGGAGTGGGGAGAGAGCGCCTTATAGAGGACAACTTCCTCCCACAAGCAAGGACTGTGGCTCAAAGAAATTCTTCCCTGTTAAGGGTGCTAAACTAATTCAGAGAGGGAAGGAATGGACTTCGAGTGTGTGATTTCATCTTCTTTTACAATACTGGGCTCTGCATGTTAAGGCCTGCAGCCACAAATACCTTAACAGCGCTATGAGCTTTACCCCTGGCAGGGGGGCTATGTAGGAATTGCTACATCCAGGGAAACACTACTGGTGCAGCCCAACAGTGAGCTGTGCCACCAAGAGAATGGGAATAAGGAATGTTGCTCAGCTGCACAGCAGCCCCACACCATTCCTTTCACATGAGCCTCCCTATGGCACGCATAACAAACACCATTACGAATCAGGAACTAGAATAGATAATCTCTTAGGAGAAATTCAGCTGTGATACTTCTTAAACAACCAGAATTATGGCTGCAGCTACGGGAACTTAAGACTTTCCTCAAAGGAAAGAAGCCTGGCTGTCCTTGGGAGCGTATCTGTCCCCAAGAGGGAGCATTTACAAGCCAGTCCAAGCCCAGAACTCACCGTCTGTGGATAGGAAAGAGGCCGCAGTCGGTCATAATCCTCTTGCCCTGCTGTATCCCAGAGGCCTAGGTTCACTGGCTTTCCATCTACCATAACATTGGCAGAATAGTTATCAAACCTGCCAAGGAAGAGTCCTCATCAGTGACAATCTTGTTGTGACCCACACATCTCTTTATATGAAATCCAAAGGGGCAGTGAATCAGGAGAGGACACTGCAACACAGTTCCAGTGGGGATAGTCTGCCCTCCTCACATACACAGCCATACCACCAGCATCCTCCTCGTCTGTGAAGTTCATAGTCTGATTTGGGACAGCCTTCTCTGCACCTACAAAGCCAACTTTTACACACATGTGCATACACAGCAAAAAACAACTGAAGCCAAAGGCCATTACTCACACAGTGGGGATGTATTCTCCAGGAAAGGCATTTGTGGTATAACTGATCAGCAAGCAGGTCTTCCCTACAGCTCTGCAGAGGATAAGAGAGACGAGCATAAAGAAGGGTACAGCAGGAAGCACCGAGGCAGTAAAACTCACCCTTGCCCCACCCAAAAGAAGAGGTTAGGTAAAAAGTTACCACGTGAGAAAACAAACCTGTAGCAGGCTGGAATTCTCTAGCTGTCATGGACCAGGCCTGAACTCACTATGTGCATGTTGCCTACGCACTTACCCAACCCTGCTCTCTCCCTCTCTCCTTTTCCCCATCCATTCAGCTTCAGCAAAACACCAGGCAAAAAATATTTATTCCCAGAACCAAGAGAGAGGGAATAGATTAGGGTTCTGTGCTGGGCTCAACACATCCATAATAATCTAGCAAAACAGGTAAACAGTGAGGTAAAAAAAACACGTAACAAAGAATTATTTGAGCTCCTCAGATACAGAAATTCAATGTCAATAAATACAAAGGGGAGAAAAATACGTATCCACAAACAAAAAATAACTTTAAGATTTGACCACTGTCAATTTGGAAAGAGATTTTGCCATCAGTGTAGCTCACTGAAAATATCAGGTCAGGGCTTTGCTGAAGGCAAGTGGGATTGGTCAACCCCATGGTGGCAGCTGGCAGGGGTTGGGCTTGGTTGGCAGTAGCGTAAGCATATGAACTTTAGTTAGCCCTGTAGGATAAGGGAAAAGCATAGTTATAAGAACTGAGGAGTACGAGGAGTGTAAACAATCTATTTATCACTGTGAAAGCTGTGAACTGCAGACAGCCTTCCAGAGAAACAGATCGTGAGTACCAGGGAAAGCTGTCTGTTAGGTGCCTGAGTGAAGCTGAATAGCCAAAAGAGATAGGTATCTTCTACTTCAGGAGTAAGCGAGACACTGCAGGAGATACCACAGTCCTGCACCAAGATTACACAAAGCACAGCAAGAACCACTACAGTAATCCACCCAGCTTTTCCCCCTGGATCAGGTCCCCTCTCTTGGAAAACAGGGAGGTTGTCTAAGGAACCTACACTGACCAGCCTGAGTTTTCCTCCTGAGCCATGACCTCTCTCCCACCAAGCAGGGAAGTCACATAATTCACCAAACACACATATCTATGATTGAAGTGTTTTGGTATCCAAGTTCATTTAGTCTCTGCACTATCAGTTTGGTCTTAAAGCAAAACACCGGACTGCAAACCTTCAGCTGAAGTCCATTTCCAACATGCTGTGCTCCTAGTTGTTGCTCTCCCCTCCACAGTAAAGCTGTGCTGTTTTGGTGGGTGGCTCTTTCTCCTGCTCACCTCTTTAGTCCCTACAGGCTAGAATCTGGAAGGCCTTGCTCCAAATGTGTATTTGAGGGGGTGGCATACATGGGAAGGTGGAAAGATCAGTCCCTGCCTAAGACCAGTTCACATTTAGTTCTCCGTATCTCAGCTTTGTGCTTGCTGTGGTGATCAGAAAAGCAAACAAGAATGATAAGGAAAAATATGCAGGACAACCTAGGAAAAGTTAGAAAGCACCATAAATCTACTGCATGCCTGCATCTTGCATACAGATGTGTTTTCAGAAAAAAGCATACTGGAAAAGCTTAAAGAAAAGAGCACGAAGGATGAGAAGAGGCACATGGTGAAATCAGAAACAGCAATGTATTTCACCTTGGAACACAAACAACAAAAAGATATGTGAAAGAAACCTGTGAACATCAAGATTTTTAGGGAGGACTTTGTGATGAATCACACTTGCATGAAAAAATTGCGAAATACAGACACCTAATAAAATAATGAGGAAACAGATTTAAAACCTAAGAAAAGAAGGCATTTGTTTTCCAGGCAGTGCACCACTAGATGCAAAACTGAAGAGCGTTAAGAGATGAAGACCTAAGTTTATGAACTAAAGAGGGAGCGGGCCGCGCTGGGCAGGACTGTAACGGCCGC